GCTGATCAAATTCAAAGCCATATTGAATTACTGCTGATTTTTACTTGTATTAGTACTTAGTGGATTGGAAGTCTTCTGCCACTCAACCTACAAATATTAGATGAAAGAATCAATTGGGGAGAATATACACCAGGATACTATATTTTCACATAGAATATGGTTCACATAGAATGTGAACCATATTCTATGCATATCTGGTGTCTGAAGTTTAATATTCTCTTCAAGCAATAATAAAATATATTACAACAAATCTTTATTAAATTCTTACTATGTTGAATATCATACCATAGGCATAGTGGTGGACATAAATGACAGAAATAATTCGTACCCTCGAGGAGCTTACAGTCTAGTGGGATTAACTTCAAATAATTATACTGGCAGAAATAAGCCAACAACAATTCCCAGCCATATGGCTGAGCCATGCTGGACCTGATTTAGATGAAAAATTGGGGCCACTATTATAATGGGGTGAGATCTTGGGCAACTTGGGAGGAGGGTGAGTTTATTTTATTTTGCACATGGGAGGTATGTGAATTGTGGTGGTCAGTGGCAAACTGTGGTAGATAGTCCCGAGATGACCGCCATCATTCCCTTTGCTTCCTGCACATGCTCCTCACATCAAGTAATGGAGAATAATTCCCCTTTCTTATATCCTGGATGGCCTTAGTGACTTGCTTGACTAGTAGAATGTAGTGAAAATGACCTTCTAGGACTTTCGAGTCTAGGTCCTAAGAAGCCTTGCTGTTTCTAGCCAGGTAACTTTTTCAGAGTTCTGCTTTGGGTAGATTCCTCAGATAACTACATAAATTATAGTTAATAATTTAGGCACAGAGAAAGGCCTTGGGGCAAGAAGCCACTGCAGTAGTTCAAGCAAAACATAAAGGATGGCTTAAAACCAAAGTAACAGAAAGAGAGGAGAGGATGGGTGTCAGTGATGAGTAAAGCTAAAATCCAAAAGACTCTACAATTGATGATACTTAAGGAATGAGAAAAGACAGAAGTCAAAGTGATTTCTGGGGTTACAGAACCTAGACAGCTAAAAAGAAAATGATGCTCTCAATCATGATTAGAATCCAAAAGAAAAGCATATATGGAGAAAAAGAGAGGAAATTAAATTAGAGGGGCAGGGAGGTCATCCAACAAACGAATTAAATTAGAGGGGCAGGGAGGCCATCCAGCAATACCCCAAGTGAATGGGTTATCCAGTGCCTTTTCTAGAGTTCTGTCCTTTTTAAATCTGGCTGATACTCTGAAGTCACCTAAGCCTAGAAAACATTGACTTCATTTGTGTCTCCACATGGTTAATGTTTTTTTTTCAAATTAATCCCTTCTTTTTCTAGCCAAAAGAAACAGATGTAGGATTCCTTACCAATAAATACCTTGCTAAAAATTAAAAGCATTTAAAGGTAAATTTGTAATAGTGGTTTGAATAAATTACTCTCAAACTAAAAACATATCTATTACTTGAAAAGTTAAACTTGCAAATTTACAGACGCAATCTCGATGTAACTTTGATTACATACTTGGTGGCATTTCAAATTATCTACCATTAAAAAAAAGTTCCTTTATACCTTGTCAAACCACGTGACTTACAGACCTGTGCTGTGGCAACATTTAATCCTGTCCTGCCTGAACAGATGGAATACGGAAAGAAGACTGAAATCTCTGTGCCTGTCTCAGATTTTACCTTGCATCCTCAGTGTTCTCCAAGTTCCTAATCCTGTAAATCTTTGTATTAAGTGTCCTTACAGTTGCTTTCCTTAGGCAATTGTGAATGTAGAGAAACAGAAACATCTTTGTACATTTAAGGATTATTTAAGGCTAGACAATTTATGACTTGTCCAGGGTGCCCTTTTAACTTTTAATCACATCTGCTTTCTATACAAAGGTTAAGAATGTATTCACTATACAGCTCACATAACCTTGTGAACTAAATTAGGCACACTGACATGTACTATGTCACTTTCAGCAGATCATGGACTACTTTTTAAATACCCACAAACTAAATCATGTTAGGTTATAATATTGCCAACAGCATGATCAAATTCATTTACATGTATTATTTAAACTGTATGGATTTAGACCAGTGTTTCTCAACCTTTTTTTATTACAACCTCCTTAAAGATTCTTTTTAGACATTTTTTCCTAATCATCCCTCTACAATGTTAATACTACACATAAAATGTTTATCTGTTACGTACTATTATCTGCTGTATCTGTGCTTTGCATATTAAAAAAAATAAGTTTTTTTCCCCGCCCCCCCCCCCACGCAAGAACCAATTCTTAGCCTCCTAGGGAAGACATCTCCCTATTGAGAATGCATGTTTTATTTAGATTGATAATATGTTGTTCAAATAAGTATTATTCTTATAAGCAAAATAAAGCTAAGCCTTAGAGCATCACAGAAGACTCACGAAGAATAGAAGACTGAGTTATGGCCACTCTTTTTTTTTTTTTTTTTTTTGTGTTACACGGGCCTCTCTCACTGTTGTGGCCTCTCCCGTTGCGGAGCACAGGCTCTGGACGCGCAGGCTCAGCGGCCATGGCTCACGGGCCCAGCCGCTCCGCGAAATGTGGGATCCTCCCGGACCGGGGCACAAACCCGTGTCCCCTGCATCGGCAGGCGGACTCTCAACCACTGCGCCACCAGGGAAGCCCATGGCCACTCTTTTGAAACTGTCAATTTAAAGACTGAGAAGTACAATTATTTAACTTTCGGTACCTGCAAAATAAAACCACCAAAGGCTTCCATTTTAAAGGCCATCATCAGTCCTCCATTCTTCACTGATTTTACTGAAAGATCAATAACTCAGAAAATTTGTGGCTAACAAGTAAAAAATAGATTTTAAAACCAAAAATATAAGTGGTTTTATTCATGAGGTTCTAAAGTTCAAAAAGGACAATAAAGATAAAAATAGGAATCAGACAATCCTAAGGATTCCCAATTCACCTAACTACAGAAACAGGAGCATTGACATTTGGTAGAAAAGAACTCTGAAGATATAATATTAAAATGAAGAACACTATTTAAATACAAACTGTTTAAACGGAAATATCAAAAAGTGACTGTTTTCCTAATAGATTCAAAAAGCCTACTTATGTTTATCTTTAATTAAAACTCTTCAATATTAAAAACGCAGAAGTATATTAATTAATAGACCTCTATCTCCTAACTTTCTGTCCTTAATTAATAGACCTCTATCTCCTAACTTTCTTCCTCTGGCATAAGTAAGGCTGAATTATCACTTACGTCGGGCTAAGGCAAGGACAGAGCACAAAGCATGAGTCCTCTGACTCATTATGGCCCCATCCCCACTGCATCCCACCCACCTTAACATGTACCCACAGGAAGACTAATGGGCTGGGGATGGAGCATGAATTACTTATAGCAAGCATAAGTTATTCTTAGAGTCAGCAAAAAAGAAGATCTTCCCCCACCAAAATAGAAAAAGATAAAAAAGGTAATAGATAAGAGGATTATGCCGAAAGCCAAACAGATTTACTGACACCACAGTTTATTAGGGACACAATATATAAAGAATGTCCATACAACCCAAAATTCATCAAAACATTACTTATTTTAAGACAAAGAAAATGTTTCGTAATTTTACAACTGATTTTTCTTTCAATATCATTATCCTTTCATCCTAACTATGGCCTGGCAATATGAAAGCTTTAAGACTTCAGCGAGACTAAACTTAAGACTTAAACTTTCTTTTCAAATTAATCCCTTCCTTTTTCCAGCCAAATGAGATGTAGGGTTTCTTTAGTATTACTTTAGTGATACTTTAGTATTACTAAAATATACTTACCTTCCTGTTCTAAGGTTGACCTATATATGCTTTAAGTTTCTATCTACTGAAGAAGTTTAGTCAGCTAAGGCTCTAGTCTATGTTTAACTGAAATCTCAACTTTATTAACAATTATAAAATTTCTGTAATAACTTTGATTCCATTTATTTTAAAATAATTTTAATCAAGTGTCAAATCATGAATTACACTTTACAATTACTCTTTTATTCTACAGTTTATAACAGGTGATACTCAATTTCTCAATTTAGGTAGTAAAAAGTTATATTACAAAACTACACTGTGGGACTTCCCTGGTGGCACAGTGGTTGAGACTCCGCCTGCCGATGCAGGGGACATGGGTTCGTGCCCCGGTCCGGGAAGATCCCACATGCCGCGGGGCGGCTGGGCCCGTGAGCCATGGCTGCTGAGCCTGTGCGTCCAGAGCCTGTGTTCCGCAACGGGAGAGGCCACAACAGTGAGAGGCCCGCATACCGCAAAAAAAAAAAAAAAAAAAAAAAACTACACTGTGTATCTGCATACACTGGGTACTGACTGATTGATATTTGCTCATTAAAAATGGATAACTTGGTTAAATAATTGTTAATAAAAACATAAAAGGTTTCTTTGTAAATCAGAGGCAGCCATCGATTAAATGCCCCATTTTTAGGTCGACTGAACACCTTTCCCATTTACTTAAACATAAATCAACAATGTGAAAATGAGGCAGTTTTACAAGCACAATGAGTTATCTAGTAAATAATTTACAGTAGGAGCCCTTATCTTCTAATAGTAATTACGTCTCTTCTTTCATTTAAAAATACAGGATCAGAGATTAATGAAAACAAGGTAAGTAAATAAAAAGGTAATCAAGAAAGAACATACTCTAAAAATAATCAATATTATAAATATAAGGTAATTTTTAGAACAAAGCTACATATTTACCATCCAACATCAAGTATTCTGTAAGAAATATTGTTATAATAGTTTATTCAGCTATCAAGGTACCAAACGCCGTGTTAGCTATTAGCATTGAATACAACACAATCATGGGAGAAAATCCATTTCTTCAAAACAATTGTTTTAAATTTGTAAGTTGATTAAATGAAATACTGCCTTACGATATATGCTGGGTCCAGAACAAAATCATGAAAACCCCAAAAAGTTAAGTCATATAAGTGGTCAAAGTTTATGAGAAATTATGCTATTTACCTTGGCTCCGCACTCAGACTTATTACATTTTTTTGTGGCAGAGAACTTTGTGTTCTTTGTTTCAAATCCTATAAAAATGAACAGAAACTTTTATTTTACTTTTAAAACTTGTTTCAAAGTTAGCTATGTAATAGTACCTTAAAAAAACATGAAAAGGGCACAGTAGGAAAAAAAAAACCTCTTTCCAGTTACATGAAGTCCATCATAGTTCAAAACAAATAAATCTTGTGTCTGTGCGCATGTATTGTGTATTTAGATTTCAAGTACAGCATATGTTATGGGGACTAGAGTCCATAATGAGCAGTTCTAACTAGGAATCAAATAAATCAGAATTCTAGAGACAATTCTGCAAAAAATTTTACTGTTACTTTTGTGTCATATGTTTCATATCTTTAAAAAATGTAAGTCTGTTTATTGCATTTTTACTTTAATATGAAAACATATGATCAAGAAGCTTCTAATTAAAGCTAAGGAAAATAACAATTATAATGTCCAGTTACCTTATGATATCACTTAAGTGTTCTAAAAGCCTGTATGCTTTACATACCTTGAAATAAGTTCATTATTTTATTTTTCATGCTTAGATTTAGTGAGAGTAAAATACACACCATAAATCAAATAGAGTCACACTTACGGGAAAGAACACACAGGTAATTTATATAAAGTGATACAAATTCTTACAAATTCTTTCAAATAATGTAAAAAGAAAAAATTATATTTCAATGTCTCTTTTTATTAAGCTTCTCACTCCCTTTTCCAACCCAAGAACAAAAGACTCACACATTTTTATTATGAAAATAGAGGATATCAACTAACCATTTCTAGGAAGGTATCAAAAGAGTAAGAGTCGTAGGAGCGTTTGTCCTTCAAAATAAGCAGCAGTGCAGAATGTCCAATTATCTTCTTTAAATTCATCAATGAATGAAAGAGTCTGTGAACCAAAAATTTTACTAGTCTGAGGAGTAATTCAAAAATCTCTATGCTGTATAAAAAATAAATAACATAAAATCCCCCCCAAAAAATCTCTATACAATATTTTCCTAGAGAACAGACTTGTGGTTGCCAAGGGGGAAGGGGGTGGGGGAGGGTTGGATTGGGAGTTTGGGATTAGTCAGATGCAAACTATTATACATAGAATGGGTAAACAACAAGGTCCTACTGTGTAGTGCATGGATCTATATACAATATCCTGTGATTAAACCATAATGGAAAAGAATATGAAAATATATATGTGTATAACTGAATCACTGCTACAGTAGAAATTAACACAACATTGGATGTCAACTATACTTTAATAAAAACATTTTTAAAAATCTGTATATAATATTTTCAGTTTCTTTAATTATGGCCAAACCACTATCACCTTCATCCTGTATACAAAGTGAAACCTATAATAAACCTATGATGAATTGGCTTTTTTTTTTTAACCCTGAATGAAGTACTTAGGGATAAAGAAAAGTTAATCAGAAGGAATCACTGATAAGGATTCATTTAAAATAAGAAAACTTTCTAGACACACCCGAAACACATAAACTTATTCAAACTACTTATATTCTACATGAATATCATACCAAATAATAACAATAGCCAGCATGATCACCCCAATAGCTCTAAGGCGTTCTACCAAAAAGCAATGATTTGATACTTTACTTTAGAAAAACCTTTAACAAGCATTGAAATAATGACAAAAGAAGACATGGGATTAACTCTCATTCACAAAAAAATTCAATCAGTATACACATTTCAAAGAATTTAAATTCCTGAAGAATTCAAATAGATATTTTGTGAATTTAGTTTCATGTTCTTGTTCAAAAGAACTAGAGAAAAAAAGTATTTCATAGATCCAGATAATGAAATTGTCTTTGTCCTTATTATATTTCTTGTCACTGATATTCTTAACTGTATTCAAATTGTATAATTATGTCTGAGGAGCCAAAGGCATGCTTATGAATCAACTGTTTCAAGATCAATTCTGGAATAAAATCTCAGTACATTAACAGCTATTGGTGAAGCACTACACATAGGGGAAAAAACTTGCCTTTTTTCCAAGTTTAATCTTACTTTTTTAAAGCTTTAGAGAGTAGGCACCTCTAAGTAAACTCATATTGGAGAAATCTGTAGAGAAACTTTGCTAAGCATGTTTTCAATCAACCATTAGAATGAATCTATTATGTTTATAGAGTGATTATATTATTTTCCCCAACACAGGAAGCAATTTTGGATCTATGTGTTAAAAACATTTTTGTTGGCATGCAACAACAAAAAAATTGTAAAAGAATTAGATAGAAATAACTTCTTTTTTCCAGAGCATTAAGATTAACTTCAAAGATGTAAGCGATCATGATCAATAAGTTATGAATTAAATGCATTTACACAGTAAATCTGTAACCATAGTATTAAAATCTTATGGATTTAAGTTCAGACCATCATCCAGCTAAATTTCAGTCTATTCAAATGTTTTACTAAATAGTAGTAAGTGTTCTCACCAGACTAAAAGACCATATACATGAATGAATACAATTCAGTTAGAAAAACAACTCCTTCAATCTAAGTTTATTTTTATTATCTACATGGCTATCTTTATGAGGTCGCCTGAACATGAAGAATAAGTCATGTTCTCCATCAGCTAAAACTTTTTATGTGTTACAGTGTATTAAAGCAGTCCTAATTAAACTGAGTGAGTGTCACGAATCAATTTTCGTGTCCTAAAGGCACACACACAGTCTTCTTATGAGATGACCGCTAAGGACAGGCGCATTTCCCAAACACTTTCTCAGTATGTATAAAGCTATTTTATTGAAAACAAAACAAAGCTAAACACAGTAAATAAGTCTGGGGAAAACTGGGTAAAACAAAATTTTACATGTGTCAACATTTCATCAACGTGATATTTCTCAGATCCTCTAATTTCCTGACCCGCCTTTATCCTATTATGAAACAGTTCAGGAAACGTCACTTTGGAATCACAGTTTTCTAGTTTGCTACCATTCCTGCAGTCTAAAGGAGACGTTATCATGTCTGTTATTCAATAGTTTGATCTACATGTTAGGAGTCTCATTTGTTCTTATCCTCTGTTCATTTTCTTCTCCTACCTATCTTTATTACAACTTAGCAATTGACAGAATTCTTAATCTTTCTGTAACTGACCTCATTACCATTCCTTCTTCACACAGCCCCATTAACCACTTTTAAGCTGAACATCCACATAGACACTGCCCAGTCTAATTCATTTTTTATGCCATGATTAGAATTAACATCCAAATATGCCATGATGTATGCTTGCTCTCCAGTTTATAATTACATAAAGATTCAATCTACTGTTGACAGCATGACACTAAGAGTCACCCTTAAACGGCCGGAAGAGAGAGCTAAAAGGGCCTGGAGCCCTGATGGCATTGTGGAGCTGTCACACCTTTCACATGGCCTAAAAATAAGCAGGATAGGATTAATTCTGTTTCGAGTTGCTATTACTAGCAGCCAAAGGCAGCCCCTAACTCATACACTTGTTCACTGGGACATTTCTGCCAACATCTGAATAAAAAGTAGTCAACAATCCAAGGACAAGAGACCACCCAATACTAGCTGCCTCTTTATTTATAATTCTCTAACTTGTGTTTTGAAATTTCCTACTTAAAATGTCTGGGCTAATGACTTGATAATTGTTTATGACTTTTCAATGAAGTGTGAAGTACTCACAAAGCAAATTTACAAATGTCAAGTACAACTTGAGAATTATTGTGTCTTTTTTCTCTGAGATGCAATTTTGTATGGGGATGCTTTTATAAGCTAAAAGCAACACCAAACATATGGAGGAACTAATGACAGGCCTCTGGAGAGGTTATGAGACAGAAAATGTTCTGTAGCAAAAACCCAATGACCTGTACCCAAATCTCTTTCAATATCACAGCCAGAGAGATAGCAAGTAGGCAGTGGAGGAGGATGACTTCTCTATTTTCTCAGGAGCTCTGCTCTGGTCTGATTCCCAGCAGCCTCACTTTTAAACTCTCAATAAACCAAGAAGACAGGAACAGGTGAAAAAGAAAAATGGAGTATCTGACCTTACTTTCAAAACTGCTTTCTGTGGAAGAAATAACATCATTATCATACAATGAGTTTTTCCTACTTTAAGCCCAGCTCAATCTCAATAGACGGATGCCAAATACATTTGCCATAAGAAAACTGAGAAGATATTCAAGGTACTACCTTGAATATATTTTTTAAAGACTCAAATCCACTAATGAAACCTCAAGAATACTTTTCTTCCCAAGTTTAGTGAAAGGCAGTCGAAATACTGTAACTCAAAATTTAATTAACCCTCATTACAATTAGTAGTATCAGTAGTGGATCAATTTTTTAATAATGACTTTATGTGCTATGTACACTTTCCACATATGTGAATACCTACCAAAGAGATTCACTTTTTAAATCTATAATCAGAGCATAGTTTTAATGATTTAAAAATAATATCAAAGCATAATCTGGAAGAAATACTAACCTAAGCTACAGTGAAACAATAGGCAAAACTCCTCCCCCAGTGTGGGAATCTCCTCTGCACTGATCCTAACGAATGGCAGCCTCAACTCTGGTATGATGATGGAAATCTCACTAACACAAAAGGTAAGCTTATTGGGAAGCACTGTTTACAAAGCCCTCTGCTATTCTGAGCCAAAGGCTGTACTCATTGTTTCTGATCTGCAACATGAAAATAACTGAGTTCTACTCCGTCATTCATTTGACAGACCATCCAAGAGCTAAAGATGGCTTTGATATCAATACCCAGGCCATCGCTTTTCATCCCAATTCCTTATATCGGCCATATATGACAAGATTTCTAGGCTCTTCTACTTCCTGGCTATTCTTCTAGGCTTAAACTTTTTTGTCAATGCCCCTATCAAAAAATGAGGTATCCAAGAACAAATGGATATGAAATCGGATGAAATTAAATGGCTATATAATGAAGTGGAGCTCTTTATCTCCCTGGATTATAACTATGATTTACTTGATACCAAATCCTTGGTCAAGAAGTAACCTCAATTACCACACTGTACTTGGGGAAAAGTGGGATCGGTTTTATAATAATGTTCTACTACTCCATTTACAGAAATGCACTACAATAAAAAGTTGGGACAGCCAGTACTTTGTCAACAGATTTCTTGAAAAATTGGTGACTCTGAAAATTGGTGGGTTTTCTATAGCAAACCTTGTAAGTGACATAATTATTAAAAACTTCATCAAAACATAAGCATTTTGGGCTGTCAGCATAACTGAAAATGTTTTCTTGGTGTGACACATGTATCTTTGAAATTGGTTTGATTTAGTGTGCTTTACTTCAGTAAAAATTCAGTATTAAATTAAAAAAGATACTTCATCAAAAGATAAAAGCTTATGACCTGAAATTTTTAAAGATTTTGTTTTAAGTCCACTTTTCAATATATTACCTGGTACCATAATCCACAACCACCCAATCTTTTGCAGTTCCTGTGATAGCATCATGATGTTGAAATAGTCCCAAATTCCTTCTTGCTTCTGTCAGCATCATATAATGGGATGATGAAAGAAATTTACTTATCTTGTATTGCTGAGCTTGTTTCAGGGCGAAATAGTAAAGAATTTCAGCAGCCCTAATTGCATAAAACAGTCATTAATTTTTATTTCAAAACAAACATTTTAGTTTACTACCTAAAATAGGTGGCACTGATACATTTTCAAATGTGGTTTTTTTTTAAATCCATGATTTCAGTACAATCAGTTTATAAGACAGATATTGTAATAAACATTTCTATAAAACCACAAAGGTAAAAAAAAAACACACACAAAGGTATCCACCTAATACATCTAAATTCTCAATCATCAAAGAACACCATGTCTCAGTGATATAAGGAAGAGAAGCCAGTACCTGTTGGCAGAAAGATGTGCCCATTTACATATAACATAGGGAAAAAATATCTCAAAGCAGTTAAGAACTGGATAAGTGTTTCCATCCCTTCTTCTCAGCAGCTTAGACATATACCATGAACTTCATCACCAGAAAGCCATTTACTCTCACATAGGTACATTAAGAGGAGAGGTGGGAGGGAAATGCATGGCCACATGAGTGTGAGACTAACAGTAAAGGAGAAGAAGAAAATGATGGCCAGACAGCTCAGAGACAAGAGTTATTCTAAGTGCTGAATGATAACATACAACAACTATAGAGAATTTAACATTAGAAACTGAAAGATGATAAATCTTATGCCATTTTTCTTAGTATTTTAAAGTAAAGAATAAAAATACGTCAGCTTAAGGACAGTTTTGAGCAATAATATGGGGGTTTATAATTTTCATCTTTAATGTTTTTCACCTGAGGACATGGTTCAAGATAGGTTTCTTAAAAGTTCTTTAAAAAGAGACATGCCTTGATGGAGTGAAAAATATAAGATTCTTTACCACAAACATGTTAAGATGATGGAGAGAAAAATCAAGGAAGCATGAAAATGTATCAAGGTATCAAAAAACAAGGAGAGATTCAAACTGCTTAAAAAAAAAAGGGTTCATTTGAATTGTTGAAATAATTAAAAGAAACTAAATAATCTCCACTTTATAAAATTATAAGCCTTCTGAAATTCATGGCATGAAAATCACTATATAGGAATTAAGGAAATTGTATGTATATGTATGCATATATATCCAGAGCAAGTATTGATTATGGAAAGAATATATATGGAAAGAATATATATACATATAAATACTCCAAAATGTAAAAAAGTGGATTTCAAGAATATTTTATGGAAATAAAAGAATATTATGGTTATGGAAAGAATATATATATTCTTACGGTTATGGAAAGAATATATATACATATAAATAAATAAAGAATATATATACATATAAATACTCCAAAATGTAAAAAAGTGGATTTCAAGAATATTTTCTTCTTTGTACATTTCTATTTTATACATGTTTTACAAATGAGCTGAGGATGAAATATCATTATCACACTATTAACTTATTTTCAAATAAATTAATTACATTTTGAAATCAACTAACTTTAGGTTTATTGTTTTATTTTAAAGCAGCAGAATTATCAAAATATATTACCAGTAGTAATATATTTAAGTAACACCTTAAACAAGTTCAATAAATTAAGACTGAAGCAATATTCATAACTCTTTGCCACTAAAAAATACTTGACACAAAAATTATGAATAACAAAAAGATAACTAACTGTAAAGATAACTAACATAAAGATAACTAAGATTCTATTGGGTAAGAATGCAGAAATCTCTGTAATATATAAATCTATTTTGTTACAAATAATGTATATTCATCTGGCACGTTTGTGAATATCCCCCCAAATAGTCAAAGGTTAGGCTTTTTAAATAACAGTTACTGTTAGTTTGTGGGAACAGTAGCACAACAACAGTAAAAATAATAAAAACACACACTACTATAAAAAAGTACAATTCTTAAAGAAATTATTGATTTTTATAAAAAGTCTGTCCAAAATATATTCAATATCCATTAGTACATAGAAGAGGGTAGGTTTGATATAAATTTTTATTTTTAATGCTAAGATTCATCATGAAAATCAATCATCATGAATTCATATTTTGAACTTCATTGACAATGAATTTGTCATGAAAATAAATTACTCTCCTGAGCTACACACATAGAAAAAGCCTCAGGATTCCCTTGGGGTGGTTTCTCTTTATCAAAAAACAATGAGACTCAGTTACATAGAATTGTACTCTCCACTATGACAGCCACTAGCCACATGTGGCTATGTATATTAAAATTCATTAAAATTAAATAAAATTAAGAGTTCAGTTCCTCAGTCACACTGGTCAAATTTCCAGTGCTCTATAGTTACATGTGGCTAGTGGCTACCATACTACATAAACAGTGCAGAAATAGAGTATTTCTATCACTGCAGAAAGTTCTATTGGATAGTGATTGAAAAGAACTGGATAATGCAGGGTTAGAGTGTTTTTATGTTTTTCTAGTGACTTTCCTGTCGTCTCCATATCTGTTTACTTTTTCAACCAATCACTCTGCCTCTCATCTCTTTCAAATTTTCTTCTTCTAAGCAGAAAATCATACCTATAGAAATGTGTTTCAAATAAATAAATAAGAACTGAGATGGAGTCTCTAAAGTTCTCCCACATATAAAGTACATTGGTTTTAGAGTATGTACTTTGAGGCCTACATTTTGGCTACTGAGAGACCCTATTTGCTCCTTTTGACCCTTGCCCCTGTTTCCAACAATTCAGCTTGCCAGGTTACTGACCTGCAGACACATGATGATGTCACTGAATACTACCATGGTGTGCAAATAATATAAGTAGTTTAATTAGAAAAATATAAAACATTGAATACAACTCCCAGAAAATCTAATTACATAAACTGCTTTTCTTTCCAGAATAAAAGCCTCTGTAAATATCTGATTATGGTTTGGAGACACATCTCTGATTGCATTAAAATTTCACAATTACATTAAATGCATCCTAACACTGCATAAATGCTGTATATTATGCAAAACTCTACAGATAGGTTATGATAACATAAAAGAAGTGAAAAAATATATGTAGCTATCTAAAGGTAACTGTACCTTAAATGGGATTCCAATATCCTATCCATTCGTTTGTAAAAGGGTCTGGATGTAAAGTAGCCACTCCAGTAATGATCATCTCTATCAGCATAAGTGAAAAAATCTCCACTTAGAACCGGGAACATTGATTGGCTATTCTTTCTATTGGCTGCATCTTCTTTATCCAGTGCATCAAAATAATCTGATAAAGTCCCAAACTGTATCTAGAAAAAAAAAAAAAAAAAGGTACATTTCACTTATTCACACATTCATCTCTACCTTAAAATTGCTTCTAGCACCGAAAGGAAAAGTTACTAATAAATATTTAAGACATGCTTCCAAGTTAAGATAAATATATAGCTCAGATTTACTCAAATGCAGGGGGGAAAGCACTCAGTTACTTTCTTTTACTTGCATCAAGTCCCAAATTAAACTAAGAGAAAACTTGTACACCTATGCAGTAAGAAGAGTTATTTACAGCTACAAATTTGTGGATCTGAAAACTCCTTACATATCCCTAGAATCTCCAAGTGTGCAAGGATCAGGATATGGAATAATCCAGAGATGAATGGAAAGTGGGGGAAGCAGCAAAAATAAAAGACACATATTTTGAGTAAAATGTTCCAGAAGTGTGGAAAAACAGTTTTGTTACCTATTAAGCATTTTCATATATCATATGCACATACCCTCCCCTGGCCTCCCCTTCTCCCCAGTTTGTGTTCTTTATAATGGAGAGAAGAGAGACTTTTGAGAACAGCAGGTCATTAAAAAAGTGGACTTTCTCTACCAGCAGGTAACAATGAATATAGGTAAAACACAAAGAGGGAAAAGAAATGCAAGGCTGACTGCTCAAATGAAAAGGTTTTTCTGATTAGTGACTCAAATTACTAGTATATAAATCCATTTTTATGAGCCCAAACTATTCTATAAATCAAAGGAAGAAAGAAACATTATACCAGACCTCATAAACAGATATTAAAAGGCAGTGTTGCTAGAAGTAAACAATTAGACAATTAAGTAGGGAATGTGTTCTTTTTAATAAGATGCTAATTTTGCTGTTTCTGACCTTATGCATACATACATACATACACACACACAGATATTGAGAGCCATTTTGATTCAGTGTGGCAGAAAAATAATTAAAGTAGTCAAAAAGAGTTAGTGGCACTCCAACAGTTATTAAGAGCAGCACAGAAGCTGGATCCTGATGATGTGGGTTTGAATTCCATCTCTACCACTTATGAAACATGTGATTTTGAGCATAGTATATAATGTCTCTGGGTCTCTCTGTGTTACAGCTAATAGGGTTCTAAGTAAAATTCTTAGAAACATGTCTGGCAAATAACGGTATAAGTTTTAGCTATTATTCTTCCATTGCAAAGGCAAAATATTAACCAGAAACATAACAATGATATTAGTAAGATAAATATAAGTCATTATATATAAATATGTCATTATAATGACTTATAAGATAATATGTCATTATAATCTAATATAATTGTGATATAATAAATTTTGTAACAGCAAAGTAGATGTCTATTTCCAAATCCTTATGCTTACATTAAAGAAAATCAATTTTCAACTATATTATCTACTCTTATCTTGGCTTCACCAAATATAGTGTTTCTTGGGCAAGTTAATCTATTTGTGCCTCAGTTTCCTCATGAGTAATTATAGTACCTACCAGAAAATGTTCGGAGAATTCAATAATTGTTAAAGTAAAGCACTTTACTTGAGGGCATTATGCTAAGTAGATAAAGAGAAAGATAAATACTGTGGATCTCACTTACATGTAAAATGTAATAATAATAATAAACAACTGAGGAAAAGAGAGCAGATGTGTGGTTATCAGAGGTGGTGGGTAGGGAGGGGGAGTTGGAGAAAGGTAGTCCAAAGGTATAAACTTCCAGTTATAAGAGAAATAAGTACTAGGAATGTAATATACAATATGATGACTACAGTTAACACTGCTGTATACGTACGAAAATTGTGAAGAGAGTAAATCCTAAGAGTTCTCATCACAAGGAAAATATTTTTTCTTTTTCTTTTTTTTATTATACCTATATGAGATGATGGATGCTAATTAAACTTATTGAGGTAATCATTCCACAATATATGTAGGTCAAATCATTATGCTGTACACCTTAAACATAAACAGTGATATATGTCAAATTATATCTCAGTAAAACTAGAAAAAAAATTTTTAAATAAAGCACTTAAAAAACTTAATTACCAAATCATAATCTCTCAATACATTTTAGTTAATATTACGTATTACTCCCTAATCTCATTACCAGGAAGCAGAATATGTGTGTGTGAAGATGCAAGAAATGAGGGTCACAAATACAAGGAAATACAGCGTTAACTTCAGATCCAATAGGTACAGATGAGCTCAATAACCAATGCAATATTGAGGAGAACAAAACTAGAAGAATTATACTATCAGACAGTAAGACCTATTATAAAGCTGTAGTAATTAAGACAGTATGAGATCAGTCAGATAAACAAAAATGAATAGAAAGTCTAGGCACAGACCCACACATACATTCGTCTCACTCATGATTAATGATAAAGACGACACTGCAGTGCAGTGGGCAAACTGTGGTCTTCAATAAATGGTGCTGGATATTCACATGGGCAAAAAGTATCTCGATCCCTCCCTTTACACAATACACAACAATCTATTCCAAACATACTACAGACCTAAATGTTGAAGGTAAAACAATAAAACTTCTAGAGGATAGCTTCAGAAGAAATATATTTTCATGACTATAGGGGTAAACAAAATTTTCTTAAGCGAAACATAACATGCACTAACCATAAAGGAAAATACTGCTGTATTACATTCAATTAAAATTAAGAATTTCTGTTCGTCAAAAGACAGCATTAAGAGAGAGAAAACACAAGCTATACAGTGGGAGACAACATGTGTATAACTTTTATCTGAAAAAAAGACTCAATCCAAAATACATAAGAGAACTATAAATGGTTAGGAAAAAGACAGATGACCCAATTTAATAAAAAAAAATCATCAAAAGACTTAAATAGGCACTTCAAAAAAGAGGATATCCAAATGGCAATAAACTTATGAAAAGAGACTCAACCTCATTAACTACCAGAAACACAAAATAAAACCATCACATCTATCATAAAGGATTAAAAAAAAATCCTGACAATACAAAGTCTGAGTAAGGAAGTAGAGCAACTGAAACCGTCATACAATGCAATATCCAGTGCTTCTATTTTGGAATCTTGTTTGGCAATATCTAGTGATGTTGAACATGTAAATTCCCAATAACCCCAGAACCCCATCCCATTTTATACCCACATAACCTCATACACATGTATACCAAAACATGCCATACACATGTATACATACACATGTATACCAAAACATGCACAAAATGTTCAAAGCAGCATTATTTGTAATAGGCAAAAACCGGAAACAACCCAAATGCTCATCAACAATAGAATGGATAAATGGTGGTATATATACATCAAATGGATACTAGAAATACTATACAGCATTGGGACTTCCCTGGTGGTCCAGTGGCTAAGACTCCACACTCCCAATGCAGGGGGTCTGGGTTCGATCCCTGGTCAGGGAACTAGATCCCACATGCTGCAACCAAGAGTTCTCATGCTGCAACTAAAGATCCCGCATGCCACAACAAAGATCCTGCACTTGGCAAACGAAGATCCCGCATGCCGCAACTAAGGCCCGATGCAGCCAAATAAATATTTCTTAAAAAGGAAAAAAGAAATACTATACAGCATAAAAAGTTAATGAACTACTGTTACAGCAACATGTAACGGTGGATGGATGAATTTCAAAAACATAATGTGGAGCAAAAAAAGCTAGACACAAAATAACACACATTTAAGATTCCCTTCTCATAAAATTCAAAAACAGGCAACACTAATTGCAGTGATAGAAATGAAAATAGTGGTTACTTTTGAAGGAATTGGTAATGACTTAGAGGACATCTGTGGGACCCTTCCAGGGGCTATAAATGTTCTACATCTTGATCTGGATGGTGGTTACATGGGGGGGTTAATTATTTTTTTATTTTTTTTAATTGAAGTATAGTTGATTTACAATATGCTGTGCCAATCTCTGCCGTACAGCAAAGTGACCCAGTTATACACATATATTCTTTTTTTTTATATTACATGGGGGTTTTAAAACTTGAAAATATTCTTTGTATACTTAATGGTTTGCACACTTCTATGTATATGATACATCAACTTTTTAAATTACTTTAAAATTGTTCTAGTGGGCAAACAAAGGAGGAAATAGGTAAAATACTAAAAGCAGGATTAACTTCTTCAGAATCATGCAGTGGATCCTTTTGCAGACCTCAAAACCATTCCCCAAGAAGATAATGAGATAAGATCCCCACATACATACGGACTCTTCTAATCAAACGTCCATGTATGCACTTTACCTTTGAGATTACAGGGATGATTTAAATATAGGCCCGATGCTCAGAGTTTATAACATGGTAGAAATTCAGTTTTAAGTATCTTGAATAACCTCAATATTTTATTTAAGTAGATTTATTTATTTAATATTATTTAAGTTTACTTAATAAATTTGAATTCTCACTACATAAAAGGTGGTATATCATCACCTTTCTAATTTCCTACCAGGTATATCACTTCCTCTCTATGGTATTTACACATATATTTTACTGTCTTAAAGGTTCATATGTGAATATAATAAACTGTTGGATAATTCATTTCCTCATATAGAGTCCAACATATGACTCTTGTTTGAATCCTGACTTATACAACGCATCTGTTAAAAAGAAAAAAAAATGCTTTTGTGAGATCAGGAAAATTTGAATCTATCTGGATATATGATACTAAATTACTTTTAATTTTTTAGATGTGATAATGGTATTACGATCATATTTTTTACACCGAGTCCTTTTCATTTAGAGATACATACTGAAATCGTTATAGACAAAAATACATGACCACTGAGATTTGCTCCAAAATAATTCGAGAGAGAGGAGTGAGATGACAGTGGGGCACAGCTGAAACAAGAGTGACCTTGAGTTGATGAATGTTGTAGCTGAGTCATGGATATGGGAAGCGGGAGTGGGGTGGAGGAAGGAATTTACACTATTCTCACAACTTTAGGGTATATAATTGATTTTCCACAGGGGGAAAGAAAGAGCAAGAATGACAGACAAATGATTAATTTTAGAAGCCTTCTCATCTAAGAAAAACGCTACTGTAGTCTCTGGATACAAGACGTTTGCAAAATTCTTGACATGTGCACTACTAAATCACAGGATGCAACTGTAAGAAACAACACACTTTCAGTAGGAAAGGAAAACAGGGCATCACTGGAAAATGAACATCACAACTTAGTAGGTGCATGTTTTCAACTACATAAAGTAATGTTTCTTTAATCCTCAATGAGTGGTAAGAAAGGGACAACCTTAGAAATGGAACTGTAATATAAGATAATTTTCCTCTTCATGAATTATACTTTTATAGAAGAATTACATATTCTACGAAATACTGGGGTGTGGGACAAAGAAACTAAGGCTATTGTGTTTTAGCCTCTTTTAATAATGAAGGGTCAACTTCAAATACAGTCTCATAATAAAATATTTTCTCATTACCTTAACATTATATTGAGAACGAGAATTCATATAATCAAAAAGCAGTTGGTAATTCTTGAACTGATGATCCCATTCCGTGCGTTCACAGTAGCGGAAATCATCTCCTAGGGGGGCCAGGACAACTGTGGTACGGAAAAGCTTTGACTTCTTTCGGTACTGATCTAGAAGCATCTCAGCCCTACAAAAGAAAAAAGGAAAATACTACTAAGAAAAGAACAAGGAGGTAACTCATTAAAAAGTGTATTATATTAAAATATTGTGTATTTTACCCATATTCTATCTTAGCATAATTTATGAGGCAGACTTTTTAAACTACCATAGTGATTTTCTTTATCCATTTAAAATATTCATAAATTCTCATCAGAGGGAAAACCCCATAGTTTTCCAATGGAATATCCTTAGAGAAATAAAGTCACATACCAACTTTGGCATATAATTACTGGGGGCATCAATGCCCTCCTAAAGGTCAGCCACAGAGATTTGCTCCCAGATAGCCTGTCGTAAAACAATTTATTCCAAGAAGACAGGATTTCTCATCTATATAAACTTTGAAGTTTGCTTTGACTTAATTCCCTTTCTCTAATTTAATCTAAAATTGCCTAATTAAACATAAAAAGGTATTTAGAATGAAGCCAATTATAGAACCATACTTCCTTTTCTAAAGGAAGAAAATCAACTCACTTAACACCTTCCATCAATAATCTGAGTTTTCATCACGGTGTCCTTCTTAATACTGATCAACAGATAAAGCTTAGGAGTTGAATGAGCTATTTTGGTTTCTATCTCTCTGGGCACTAACCCATGACTCAAAAGGTCAGCTAAACACAATGTGCTGCTGTGCTTCATGTATTTCATATTCCCGTATTCTGTAAAAAACCCTTTGGGAGATGCTGAATTGGAGAACCATTTGAGGAAGTCTGTGAACACAAAATAAGAGGAAGCGCTTCTGAAAGTGAAATTAAACAAGCAGATGAACCCAGAGTAGTTCTCCATATTTCTAATGCCAAAGCTTAAAAAAAACAGTGATAAATGACAAATACACTTTTTTTACACACTATTCCAATGTTCATTTCAAGGATTATCCAGAATTAGATTCTAATTCACAATATTAAAATTTATGAAGAAATCTCAAAGAATATCAATGATGGAAAGAGGCATTTTGTAGAAATTATGAAAAAAAATTTCACTAAATTTAGAATCTCATATGATCTTTTTATATTGATAGTCTTTTTATATTGATAGTCTCTATTTATATTTATATTAAAAAATTTAATATTTTGCAAATATTAAATTAGCAAAAATTTAATAACTTGGTGGGTAAAATATAACCATAATATTCTTTTTTTAAATTTAATTTTATTTATTTTTTTATACAGCAGTTCTTATTAGTTACCTATTTTATACATATTAGTGTATATATGTCAATCCCAATCTCCCAATTCATCCCACCACCACCACCACCCCCCGCCGCTTTCCCCCCATGGTGTCCATACGTTTGTTCTCTACATCTGTGTCTCAATTTCTGCCCTGCAAACTGGTTCACCTGTACCATTTTTCTAGGTTCCACATATATGTGTTAATATACGATATTTGTTTTTCTCTTCCTGACTTACTTCACTCTGTATGACAGTCTCTAGATCCATCCACGTCTCTACAAATGACCCAATTATATAACATATAATACTTAGTTTTCTGAGATTAGCATTCAATATAGTACTTAATTTTTACTAGTAATTTACTAATATTCCACATTTTCCAAAAACAATTTTAGATTATTGCTTACAATTAAAAAACACACATACAATGAAATTAATCACATAGAAAGATATATAAGACCAAAGAAATACGAGGAAAAAATATACACATAAATCGCCGATACAAGATATAGTATGAGTAAGCATCCAACTAGATCCCCCAGGCAACCAGCATAAAAAACGGTATGCCATCATTTAAATGCATCCCAAGGTTTACTACTGTAAGATATACCATATTTTGCTTGTATATGTGTAAAACACATAAGAGGAAAGAAATCACAAACTCTAATGAAGTGCCTTGTCTATTGAGCATCTATCCTAACTAACTCCCAAGCTCCTGCTCACAAAGTGTCAATGCTGGGAAAGCCAAGGGACCAACCTAACCCACCTGGCAGGTAGTGGGTACTCACTAATGCACAGTAAACTTATGACAAATGCACTGACCAACATCACATTTAAAGATGCACAGCTGCAATTTGCTCTTCACTTATTCTACCACGTAAGAAAGAGCAACTTAACCAGAACAAAGAAAAAAAGAATTCCCTGAAACATCAAATCACCTGACATGTGAATCATCAATCATATGTAAAATATATGGTACTAGACCAAAAACTGAACTTGTTGAAGAATGGTATTTCTTTATCTGCAAAGTAGAGAAACCTGATAAACTGAACTTATTAAATATATCACCTGCACCTTATAAATTTCATTTTCTTTAGGGAATTAAAAAAATCAAATGCCATTAAGCTGGAATGCCCATGTTTGATCTTTGTTCATCACAACATCAAAAGGAAGGTGATATCTGCACGGGAATAACCAGCAGAGCTAAGACTTCAAGACTTGTACGAAGTTTAAAAAAAAAAAAACAAAAACTATGTAGGTATTATATAGATTCTTTCATCCGTATGCCCCAGGTGCCTGGAAACCGCTTTCAGAATCACTGGAACTGACTGACCACAAGGTGTGTTCTTGGGGGGATGGGGGGTAATCTTTGAAGGGTTCTATGATACAGCGACGGGATTACACAAAATGCTTCTCAGGTACTCTAAGGAGCACCCAAAAAAGAAAAAACGGGCCTCAAAATATCTATGAGTACACTGGGATTCCAGTTACCCTTCAAAAAGTCTCCTATCCCTGACCACTGGAGCTGAAAGGAGTGTAAGTACCATTCAGTTACAAACAGCTGTTTTCCCAAGTAGACAGGCAAGAATCGCCCCCCCGCCCCCACCCAAACACACACACACACACAATGCCCCAATCTACCACCACTTCCTTTCCACTACTCCTTCTGCTACATAATATACTGGATTACTCTCTTAGCCTAAGTAGCCTGACCCTAGAAAGCAGGCTGTTCAGGGTCTCCCATTGACCCTCACTTCTCTAGGAATCAAGAAAATGAAACCAGGTTGATCCCAAACCTTGGACAGTTTTTCAAAACAACTATGAAAGCCAGATTTTGATACAAAGGATCCATGGCTTCAAGAAGGCTGCCATGCTAAAATACTTTTGTGTCTGCCAGTGAGAGGCTCACACTGGAATGTTTTCTTTATGGCCACAAGGACACTCAATGCAAAGAGACCCAATCCCACCTTCATCCTCACACACACTTTTTTAAAAGCCTTTTTTTTTTTTTTTGTAGTTAATTCTTTTTTTTTTTTAAACATCTTTATTGAAGTATAATTGCTTTACAATGGTGTGTTAGTTTCTGCTTTATAACAAAGTGAATCAGTTACACATATACATATGCTCAAGAATAAAGAGATTTGAGCCCAGAGCAACGATCTTACAAGGCTATATTATTTTTCTAGCAGAGTTGAGTGGTTTATATTACAACACAATGTTTTATTTTAATGCATTACATGCCACTAATTTTAAAGTGAAGAAATTAAACTTTAAAAGCACCAGAATTAGAAGTATAGGTAGCTTAGTTTAATGAGATGCTTCCATCATTAGGACAGTTTTCTTCTAAGAAAAAAAAATAATTCATTCCTTTGATTTTTATTTAAAAATCGTTAAGTATAAATATTCCTAATTAAAGTTTTCTATAAGTCAAAAACATCAGAAAGATGATGTGTATTCATCAGAGCTGGGCAGCATTCACTATTACTGAAATTGTTGTTAAGGGAACAGATAATTACACTCTTTATGTGTTCCATTTCAATAAGTGTGTTTTTGCAGTTGGGCTGCTTTTCTTACCAATTTATACCATAGAGACCATAAGTTTTATTATTAACAAAAGTATATGAAATCAATCAAACACAGTAGAAGGCTTTTATAATGAGGGCAAAGGAGACAGTAATAACAGTGTATTATAGGTTATCCATTGTATATTGATCTACTATTGTTCACTTTCCATTAAGTTACAACATACAAGACAAACAGTCAAGGCTCTGGTATTTTTAAGTTGCTTTAGATCTAGTTTGAATGAATACCTTGAACAAGGATAAGCTGGCTACTAAAAACCATTTATTCAATCCTTCAGCAACAAGCCACTAATGCTTGCTTGTTCAAGATGTTGTCTTACACAATGCATATTTTCGTACCTGTTCTGGAGATTTCCAAGATATATTGTTTCTGGGGGGACTCCCCAGGGACAACCATATCTGCCTCCAGGAAGTCGTTTAAAATCAAACTGGCAGCATATTTTAGGATCAGGTCCGCAAGTGTGAGGGATGTCATAGCTGTAGAAGGGCATCATGTGGCAAAAAATATCTGTGACAGATCCCAGATCTAAAATAAAGAGCCAACAGACCTGCATTTATAAATTTTGTTTTCCCCAAACTGTTCAAATTTCCAGTACTTTATACATACATAATGCAAGCTCTACCCTAAATCAACAACCCCTTCAACTACTAGAACACACACCCTAGCAGCGTTTAATGACCACCAGCCAGAAGGAAGATACTCACATCTGTCTCTATCTACCTCTTCTATCTAAACTTAGCTGAGACAGAAAAGCCCTGCCATAAAGCAGCATCTGCTGACCTGGAAGGATATAAACTGAGCAGAAGCAAAAGTTATAACCAGCTCATCCAAAATTATGGCCGTGTCTATCCCTGGCTGCCAGCTCCGGCCACATCTGCTCCCACCTCAGGTAATAGGACACTCTGAGAGACACCATTAGCGGTAGAGACTGGGTGAGAAGAGAGGAAGGGAGCAAAAAGGGGACCTGGAAGAATAAGGGAAGAAGAAGGAGGGGGTTGTGAAGATACTGGGGAAATACTGGTTTTGTAGTGATGAGAAAGAAGTGTACTCAGGAGAGTTTTGTGGAGTCACCCTGATGTTCACCAATAAAGAGCCAATGATGCTTTTCTCCATGGAGGCAGAGGAAAAGTAAAAGTAACTTTCAAAAGCAAAAAGAAGAATCAAAACAAAGCAAACAAAAAAGATACAGAAAACGAGCACTGGTTCCTGACACAGAATTGTTTTTAATTGAAACCTCAATGCCAGTATGTGTTGATATCACTGCTTTCGAGAGGTCAAAAGCCTCCCACAAAGTAAGGCTGAAGGACTTCGATAAGAGTTAAAAGTGGTATCTTTTTATGATTCTGACCTGCAAATACCTCTTCCCCTTTATGTATGGATCTCCAATTCTCAGCAATGCATTGCTTTTATAATAAAGACAGACAACAAGAAAAAACAAACAAGCAACATGCACATTTAAAAAAACTGAAAACAACTGCTTCATTAAGAACCAGAACACACAAAGAAGCTCAACTTGATTCCAAAACATCATTTTAAAGCAACATGTCCAAATCTATCAGGTAAGTCTTAAAATATTCCAGATTTCTCTCACACTCCATTTAGTTAAAATAATTACCAGGTCTTTTCCAAACTTTAAAGCTATTATAATCTGTACATTTGTGTGCTGTAAGTTGTTTCACTGAATCACATTCATGATTGTCACATCATGGATGCTGGTCGCTAATGCTTGCTACCTGCACAGAGGCTGTCATAGTCCCAGGACTTATGGCAACTTCCTTTCCTTTCTGCTATGAATCAAGGACATACTCCACATCCTACTACCTCTCTTCATGCCATACTATTTAGCAGCTCATTTACACATCTCAGTTTATCTTCTGTATTTGGTGGTGTTTGTCTTTTATCAAATTAGACTATAATTTTCTTATAAGCAAGATTTCTTCTTAACATGGTATTAAGTACATAAAAGTACTCAGTAATTTCCTGGTGATAGATATTTATGGGCAATTTGAATGTAAGCAATAGTTTAAGTAGGGCTTCCTCAAATTAATAATCCTTTTTATTAAAAAATTAGTATGCTCCTTTGCATTTGATCAAAGTATACAGGATGCAATCCCCTACAAGCTCTTGTTTTCCCTAC